AGTTTTAAACTTTAATTTGCGTCTTCTTGGTTCAGAAAAAAGGCTGATTTATTTATTTATTTTGTTTCACCAATGACGGTTTCACTTCAGTTTGACAATGCAATGAAACATGTAAATTTTTTATTTTGTTTTTGGCTTTGATATGTTTTGCTCCACCTTTTTTTCAGTTTGAAAGTGTGTTTCTAGAATTTTAGTGTTTGCACTTTTTTTTTTCTTTTCGAATTGAATGTGGAATGAATTTTAAGCTTAGTGTATTATTTAATTAATTTTGCATTATATATATGTAAGATAAAAAATATGTAAAACCCTATCATTCTCCCTCTCTGTTCTAAAAGTCATAATAACTTTTCTCGATTGCATCATTTCTAGATGATTTCATCTTGCATGGCCTGTGCAACGCTGATGGCGTAACTCTTGGGAACTGAAACTTTTCTAACCTAAACCAAAACTTTTCTCTTAACAGACTGCCATATTGGATAAATGCGCAGTTAGCTTGCAGCTTTTTGCCACTTGGACACTGTTTCATTTCACTGTGCTTTGTTGTGCTGCTAACTGTGCCGTTATTTAAAATGTGATGCTCTATATAAAATTGTGGTGTGACAGTATTATATTATGCTCATGATCATATGTATAATGAAAAATAATTAGTTCGTGTCCAGCAATAAAGGTAATATTCAGTTTTCTGCTACGTATGTCTACAAGTCTCTCCTTCGAGTGTCATCTTTCTAATTGTGCAGCAGTCTCTCCAAGTTTTTATCATGCACACAGTGTGTGTAACACTGTAACTAACACTGCTCAAAAGCTACTAAAATTTTGTACGGGACTAATGATTACATGAAGAAAAAGATTCTGTTTTTAAAGTAGCTGGTAGGGAAGATATAGCACTGTTGTAGTATACACAGCTGAGAATTAGACAAATAAATAACAAACAAACAAAGTTCAGTGCAACATCGCTTTAATGCAGCAATTGATCTGCCCCAAATGATTGCGGAGGTGGTATTTCAGTGCACCATACCACTTTATTCAATAAAAGTAAGGGCAAAGACCACTTTAAATGTGACCATCCTTCGCACGTACCACACAATGCATCATGTATGCAATATTCTTGGAAGCCATGTATGCAATTTCATGGTACATGAGCCTGAGTACTAATAACAAAATGTTTGTGCTTCAAAACTTAAAAAACACTGTATGTTTTTCATTTTCAAAGAAATATGTTTATTAAACTAATAATTGATCAAAAGTATCACATATTAGTATTACTTAATATAGTCGCCATAATAGCTGTTAATTACCATTTAATAAAGGGTTTATTTTTCTTGGGATAAACAGTTGATTCCGGTTTATCGGACCACATTGGGAAGCGATCGTTTTGGTCCTAATAACCGGCTGGTCCGATTACACGAACAAACAACATAGGCCATCTATGTTGTAAGACGGAACGTGCTACAGTAAGCAAACGGGGGGGTAAAAAAAAAAACTGTACATGTAAATCATGTACGAAAATTAATTATGAACTTAATGTGCGGTACACACGTCCGCGAACATACCTGTACAAAACAAAGAAATACAGTCAAACTTTTTCATTGAGAAAATTAAATTAGAAACCAAATTATAAGAAGCAATCTCAACGATACTCAAAATGCGAAGCACAATAAAAGCAGTTTCTTATGAAGTTCAGTCAGCATTTGAAGAACATATCCAATATGCTCTGAACGCGTTCTCTGACGGATTGCTCGTGACGAAATCGCCACACGGCATTCTAACGCAGAGCAATTGGGACTGTTTTCTTTCCCTCCTGCATGAAATACCGACGCAAAGGTCAATGCATTCCTTGCATTCGTATGTCCACTTGCACCAACTTATTAGCAGGGCATCATCATCATCATTTCTTGGTCTTCCGGTGCTGTCATGTGTTTGCTGCAATTCGCAACGATGCAGCGTTCGTAAACGCATTTCATCGAGCATTGAAGCTCGATGGTCTATGGATAAAAATTCTGTCGCAATTTTGTATCTGTTGAAGTTCCACATGTAAATCATCATTTTCGCTTTCAATCAGCATGTCGTATCCCATCTCTAAAACAAGTGCAAAGCCATCGTGAGAGCAAAAAACAGTTCTGACTTCTTTCACTGCTCACTTTTCGCCAGCTGTCGGCCACAAATGTAACTGATTGTAGATGTTGACCTTTGCTCTGACTCGCTGGCTTTTGACGATGAAGTCAGCGACTTCTTCATTGCTTCAAGGATGTAATAACAACTTGCCACGATTAAAGGTCTTCAAATTTTATGATGCCCATGTCCATTGGCGGACCAAAGCTGGTCCTGGAGTAGAATTCCAGTTGGATTCGTCAAGCAATCTAAATAGGAGTGTGCACAATTGTCAGAAGAAGAAGCACTTTTCCGACTGGGTTGTAGCTCTCTGTACAATCATAAGCCTTCTTTAAAAAGTTCAGAGGTACCACGCATTTCTGTCGCACGATACACAATGGTAAACTCTCCATCTAAGTCCTTAAAGCAGCGAGGCTTAGTGCTTTGCCTATAACCAAAGCTTCCCTTGTGCGTTCCGGATTAAGCAGCGCAACACAGTTATGCGATTCATCGTTTTTTTGGAGCCAGAGGTGAAACATGTTGTAACTTAACGAGCATCCGGTGTAGCACGAAATAAGCCCAGTCTCATCAGATGTAGATGTCATCTGTGAAAAAATTCAAAAGCTCGGCAGTTTGGATTCCAACTTCAGCATTGCACTATCAGCAATTTTTCTCGCATGGGTTTCTTGAACTTATTCATGTCTAGATTTCCAGTGAGACAACCAACCGTCCGTAGCTTTAAAGGTCATTGTCGCACAGCGTTTTAACGAGTTTTGCTTTGCATTTACATTGGGCGCTTACTCGCACATATCACCAGTAACAATGACAAATCATTCTTAAGGCCTATCCACACTGGGCCTTGCCTTACGCTTCGTTTTTTGGAAGTTCCTCCTCGTCCTCACATGTGCCCATTCTTCTCGAAGGTCATTCTCTTGTTTATCAAGCGCGAATTGTGTCTTGCCAATCGGTTATTCACCAACCGACGCGACTAGGGTCATGGTGTGATTGATCTTATCCAGGAAATCAATTTTCAGCTCACGTCAAGTCCCGTCGTGCATTTTGGCGGGGGAGACAGCACGCGCACAGTCACTGACTAAAGTGGTCTGAACAAAATTGGTGTTTCGGGTTCAGAGTTGAGTCAAGAGGGATAAAATGCTCACCATTCAAGCTTTGGCACTAAAATCATCCCAAAAGGGGTGATGAAATGATAGCTTTCTTGTATAAACTTTAATCATGATTCACAGGCGGGAATTCCTTTCAGGTGGAGCCGGACACTCTATTGTTCATTTCCTCGAAACTCGGAGGCGCAGGTAAAAGAAAATGGTGCGCGTGTTCACCCCCCACCGGTTTTGCTTTTGTCATGCACTTTAGGGAATTTCTGACCTTTGATAAAGCATTTTCCTGAGGAGCCGCAACTACAGATCCTCCTATATGTCGCAGACTACCTGTACGTCCGCTGTACGTGGCCGACTTGTGGTTTCTGTTTCTTATTCTCTCTCACGTTTTTTGGTCCGATTAAATGGAATTTTGGTTCAAATAAGCGAATATTAGGCTTATGTACATAGGATTTGTTTCGGTTCTTTAGGATTTGGTTCGAAAAAGCGGCTGGTCGGATTATTCGGTGGTCCAATTAACCGGATTCGAATGTACTCAATTTCTGAGCTCTCTAGCTCTCTAAGCATCACCGTGAGTTCTATATGATACATTCTGATCTGATTTTTTTGGCTGTTTACTTTTGGTTGGGAGTTTTTTGTTGTATGGAGCTAAGTTCTTGTGAAATTTGCTCTTGAATTTCAAGCTTCTTTCAATGGAAAAAAATATTTGCTTAAAAAATATAAATCTAATAATTCAACTATATGTAGTATTTTCTTTATTCTGTTGTAATTAGGTTATTTTAAGCAGGAAACATGAAAAATGAGCAATGACCTCGCCGGGACTCGAACCTGGACCAAAGAACGTCTATGTAAAGAAGGAAAGGTTCCATAGGTGTAATGTAAACCAGTTTGCTATTACGCCGCTAGAAAACGGAGGGAAAAATTCGCCAAGGGATTTGGCAACGGGACTTGCCAGCCAGAGTTTCCCCCTCCGCGATGCGTACAAGAAATTGAAGAACATGTTAAGAAGAAACGTTCTTAGACAGAATGTTTCTTCTTTGACTTTTCGCGATAATTTAAACTCGGATTTTCGTACTTTTTTTTTTTTCTCAAAATAACTAACCCATTAATTAATTTACTTGCGCAAAAAATATTTTCTTTTTCTGTAAAGTTTAAATAAATTTCAAACGATATTCGTTTTATAAATTTTTGATAAACGTCACCTTTGAACTTCGACGCCGGCTTCGAGCTTTGGCGGCAGATATTTCGCGGATGCGCAGCTGTTTCCCTCTACGTTGGAACGGTTCCACGCCTGTTGCAGGGAGGTTTTCCTTCTTAACAATATATATTCTTGGCCTGGACCTATCGAATACGCGCCGAGTGTGCTACCGTTACACCACGAAGGCATGCAGAAAGAGAGAGAAAATACCTTATCTACTCCCCCTTTTAGAGGGCGACTGGGTATCAGGGCACATATATCTGTGACGAATTATTGTCCGCCACTTTTTAGTTCGGGCGCTACTATAAAGTCATTAGGTTATTTTTTAGCATGAGACGTGAAAAATGAACAATGCCCTCGCTGTTGCTCGAACCTGGACCTCTCGAATACGCGCTGAGTGTGCTACCATTACGCCACGAAGGCATGCAGAAAGAGGGAGAAAATACCTTGTACTGTGTAGGGTAAATGTCTAATTCCATCATATCCGTCTTGAGTTAATTTATTTCATCTAAGATCTTATTTTCACTAAATTTACTTCATCATCCTCTTCTTTCACCACTAATTCATGAGTTGTACATATTATCAAAGCCTTCCTCTTTTATAGATTTAGCAAGTTCTATTACTGCATCCATTCTGTTTTCTGCTGTCTTAATTAGATTTATACATTGATCTGGTTGTAGGCATTAAATTTCCGGTAAACATTCAGTGTTGGCCATCTTATTTCTCTTTTCGTTTTCTTGTGTTTTTAATTTGTCTTGACAAAGATTTCTCTTAATCATGTTGTATTTTAATGTGCTATGATGTCAAGGTATGTGCAGTTCTGCCATCGGTATGACAGTTCCTTCATTCTTGGTCAAACGATGTTAGACGGTGTTAAAGGAATACTATACTGCAGAAGGATTTACCCCATGTGTTAGAATAAATCATGTTGTAGAAATGTCGTGTTATATATGGGGACTACCTATATATAAAAGATACCAAAGTGGATTTTGCACTGAATATATGGTTCCAGTTCTAAAGCAAAGGACTGAAAGAGAAGATTTCTGAAAAAGAGAGTACATGTACTCTGTTGCTACATCTCCTGATGTACTTACTGGTCATTTTACATTTTGAGGGTGATAGGATATATTTTGATTTTTCTTATAACATACTTGATTAAGCTTAAGTGTATCAGGATACTTGTAATTGAGAAAAGGAGTGTTCATTAGATAATGGGCTGCCTGTGTTAGTAGCAGAAATTTAAAATTAGGCAAGAATCAGCCTTATGTTAGTTTTTTTTTAATAAAATCAAATTAGAACTCCTCCAATTTTTAAATTTTAAATTTAAATGCCATTATTCAATATACTAGTTACTGAGTGAGCTATTGAATTTTTATTCTTCTTTTTTTGAATAAAACAATTTCAACAGTTTTCTAAAGATAATAGCAAAATTGTGATATCTTTTAAATCTTTGTAAAGTTTTCTGTTTGAATCTTTTATTATTTTTGATTATGTGTAATTTTTTTTAATTGTACGCTTTTTGGCTTAGTGAAGTGCATGCAGGTCACTTACTAAGCAAATTCTTTCAATTTATTTTCTACTCACAGCTGCTGCCGATTTTATTTTATATTGAATATTTTTTATACTTCAGATGTATCTTGTGTAAATAATTTTGCAATATTATGTTAATAAGCTTCATATTCTTTTCCCCTCCCAAGGAATGGTATTTAAAATTTGTGAAGGAGGAGTGCTATAGTCATAGATCCCCTGCAAAAGAATGTGCTCATCTATTAAGTCAACTAAAATTTGAAGATATAACTGCCATTATGTCATCAAAAGTGAGACAAATTTTTACCTTTAATAGAATTTTTTTTTTAATGTTAATTGAGCTGGGACCTAATTTGGAACTAGAATTTTGTAAATTCAGTAATTTTAATTCTCAGCCTATCTTTGGTTGTTAACCCTTTGCGCTCGAGAGGTGACTCTCGCTCACCATGTGATTTGATGCCGCAACTCGAGAGGTCATGCTCGCTCACCACTTGATTTGGTGCAGAAACTCGATGCGCGGCAATAACTATTTATGTTTAGTTTCTTCTAAGCGCGTTCCTACACTCTTTATGTATAATCTTATGAAGTGTAAAATGAAGATACACTTCACCCTTTAAATGAAGGTAAGATTTTCTTATCTGAAATCTTTTCTTATCCATCACAAAGTCTGTTCTCAGAGAAATGAACCCGGAAAAGGCATCAAACGACATATTATTGTAATACTTCCCCCCTGACAAGCCGGGCATGCATCTTGGGAATTGTTACATGAAATATCATACACAGAAAAATTACAGAGACTAATATTTAAGAAATTATGCATATAAAATGTTAAAATATAAAAATTGTATACATTAATTTGTGTGTGTGTAATGATTTTAAGTTACTGGTAAGAAATGCGTCAGAAAGGCTGCGAAACATCTCGAGTTCCTGGTGCACCACACGCGCGAAAGAGGCCCCGAGTGCAAAGGGTTAATGCTGTTCTTAGAAGATGTTATTGTAAAACAATATATGTATTTAGTTTCATATGTACTTGAGTAAATATCATCTTTTTTAATTTCAGGAATTCCAGCTGCCTATATTAGAACAATGTTTGATTTTAGGAGCAAAATGTATTGCGACTTCAGAAAAATATAAATCTTCAAAATCAGATGATCCATTTGTTGGTGTTACAGAAAGTGCTGGAAGTATTTTATATCGTTCTGCTCAGAGCACTTTGTTGCAACATTTAACTGATTTTATGGCACTTTTACCGAGGACATCAAAATTCCAGAATCGCTTGTATAAGTTATTTTCTGACAAGTCATTTTGGGAACTGCTTTTCGTTCTCGTATCTACTACTACTTGTTATTTAAAAACTCTTCACTTCATACCTGCAAGAAATATCCCATATGATTCATTGGACGATATTGCAATTCTGAGTATTGTGAGCTGTGAGGTAATTTTGCATACTGAGATTTTATAATTCTAGCAATTAAGTGACGTTATTTGAAAACTTTATTAGATGTATATATTTTGGTGCAACTAATATATATCTTTGTACTTTTAATGCTAAAATGTGAGATTTTAATTTTAATTTCATTACTAGGCTGTTGTTTTCATTATTCAGTCAGCGAAATCTCTGTCATCAGAAATGTTGAAGCTAACATTACTTATGCTTGACGAATGCTTGAAAAATGCAGAACTGTCAGCTGTCATAGGCTCAGAGAAAAATATGTCATGGATATGCTCAGCTATATTTGCAGTTCATCTATTGGTAAAATACTGTAAGTGAGTTATATTTATAGATGAAATTTGTTCCTTCATATGCATGCTGTTTTTTAATGTTCTAAATAGCGTTATTTTTAAATATTTCAGTGCAGCAAGATAAGGAATATCCTATGGTAGTATACCCTTTCAATTTAGAGGATTGCTCATTAACACATGGTAAATAGTTGTAATTGCATGCATAGTTATTTAATTATATATCTTGATTTTTTATGATGTTCTGTAAAATGGTATTGCTATTTAGTTTCATGTATGAAATTTTAGCATAAAATTGTAAATAGGCATTATGTATTATATTGAGCAATTAAATTTGAATTAAATAAAAAAAAAACATTGAAATTTGCTATTCTAGCTTTAATATAACATTTCAGGATCTGAAATAATTTTTTTAGTTGTTAAAATTTTGTTTACTGCTGCCAGTTTTAAAATAAATGATTGGGTTTTAAAGCATGTATTAAAGTCAAAATCTAAGTTTATTATTTTTATTAAAATTTTGAAGGCATACTGTTGTTTAATTTCTTTGCTATTTTTAAAACAAATGCTTTAAGCAAATTTATTTTCATAGTTCTTGCTGTTGAAGGCTCTTCGGTATACTTTCAAATGGAGTTATAATTTATTTACACTTCTCATCAAAAGTAAAGAATAGTGGCAGAAGTAAAACATTGCATAATTTATATGAAAAACTGATTTTATAAAATTTGCATAAAAATATTATTTTATAACGTATTTCTCCCGCCTTCTTAGCGTGCTTCGTGGTGTGATGGTCTGCACGCTGGGCGTGTATTGCAGAGATCCGCGGTTCGATTCCCGGCGAAGGCGTCGCTCATTTTTCAATTCTCTTGCTTCCAAAAAAAATCATAATGTCCCTAAGTTTAACATAAATTACTATGTTTACCTGTACTCGCGAACTCATTTCCATTCTGGCCGGAAAACAGAAAGAGAGAAGTGACAGTAAAAATTCAAACTATAAAATAACTGACTAAATTAAATGAAATATCACATAATAATTAGAAATACAATTTTAATTTTAATGTTTAAAAGTTAAAGCGTATTATAACTATTTTCAGTGTTCTAAAATGAAAATACCACTGACTCGAAACGTCTCCTTAATCCACACCTTTTTTTAGTTCTAAATACGTCTCCTTAATTTTGGTTGATTTTGACACGCAGCCAGAAAAGGTTGCCGACGCGTTTTGTAGACGAATTATCCAGTATATCCAGTAATCGGAACTAAATGAATTATGAGGTAAACTATCTCGCAAAATTTATATAAATATTTGTGCGCCTTTGTTTGCAGTTTTTTTAAATATGTATTCATTTTTCTCTGTTTCATGTTATTGCATATTTGTTTTTTTATTATTTTTGTATCTTGTTTTATTGTAATATTGTAATATATATTGTGTAATTTGAATAAATATTAATTTTTTGGCACTAATTGTGTTTGTGTGCTGCTTTGCTTTATTAAAATTGTAGTATTTGTAGATTCACGTAAATAACTGCTAAAACTTCATAAATAACATAAAGTGAGCTGGTGAGATAAGTTGTTGAGGTGTATCGGGCTCTGGAGATATTTTTCTCCAACTTGGTAATACTTTGGAAATTTCTAGAAAGTGCATTTTTAAAAGCTTAGGACTGATTTTTCAAGAATGTTCTGGTAATTCGTATTTGTGCTCATTGTCGCTTATTTCGTGATCGGACATATATTATAATGTCCATGCCATTTTCTGTAAATAACTTTATTTAATTATTAGTATATAGACTCTCTCAGAATTAAGGAATCGAATTAAAAAAAGGAATTGTGAGGAGCCTACTGTCAAACTTACAGTATTCCCACCTCAAGAACACAACATTTAATAAAAAATCATCTCTTTTGATAGTGCATTTTCTCTGTTACTGTTTCATTTCGTAAAAAAACTCACTAAAAACAAATCAGTGTAAAACTAATTTAATCCAAGAGAGATTTTATCACATGCTGAAAAGCTTAAAGTTTTATGATACCAATATGTGCAAGAAAAGCTGTAATTGGTTCCATTTGCTGCACTGTTATTGCAAGATAATGCCTCATATGGAAACTCCTTAATAGCCAACAAAACCTGATTCAAAATTGAGTTCATCAATTGAAATACGGAGTTAATAATAAATAGAATGATAAAACTAGCCACATAAGAGAAAAGGGGTATCTTGGCAGTGATAAAGAACGTTTTGCACAAGGCAGTGCTGTTTCATTTCATGGTCGTCATACTAAGCAGAAAGTTGCATGCAAACCCATGAACGATTGTGGGGGAAAAAATTCCCTTTTTTTTTCTGAGCATCCTTCCTTGCTTTAAAATAGGTAATATAATGCCTTGTGTCAATTAACAATTGCATTCAACAGGAGTGTCAAAAAGGACAACTTCCATATTTTTAAAGTGGCCTGTTTTAAATATATTAAGTCTAGAACTAACTCATGTGATAACATTTTTAACAAGTTTTAACGAACTTACTGCAACTCCAGGATAGGATTTAATACTCAAGAGTTGTGAGTGGGTTGTATTAACATGTATCTGTTGAGTGTTTTTATAGAAATTGACGTAACCAGCATATTACTACCCATTCTATGTCAGTTACATTAATTAAAAATGCTTAAAATATTTCATAATTTTCTTCTATTTTGTGTGAGTAGAGAAGGATTGCATTGTGACATATATGGATAATTACATAGTTTGGTGTACAAAAGATTGGGTAAATCGATTGAACGTTCAAATATTTTCCTCTTCGAGGTAAAAAAAAGCGGGGGGTTAATACAGATCTTAAGAATTAATTGGAGTTGTAAATTTTCATTAAATTTCATACCGTAATTTCAATGGGATTAGACTTCTTAAGGTGGGAAATCTTAATAAACCGCAGTTTGATATCGAGCAAAGATAATTATGCGTCTTGTAGGTTTTATTTTGGAACTTGAAAACTCATAGTCCTTTTAAAGGGAAAACTACTTGTTCGAAGATTTCCTGTCCAGGTTCTGCTGACTGGTTTTGGACAATTTTGCTTATTAAAAATAAAAATGTTCCATATATTCTCTAATAAAGGAATTCGCGAGTTGATATTTTTGTGTTTCCTTAAAATTAAATTCCGAACTTGTTATTTGAGCCGAAAATAATTCATAGTAATATTTTGTTTTCAGAACAATGCCTGGCTCGTAAAGCATGTATTCATATAGTTGAATTGATCAGCTGGTTGGAAAGTTACAGACAGTTCCAGTTACAGATCTCCGAACATTTGTTTTGTCCTATAAAAAGTGTTATTCAAGGTATGTTTTGTTATATTCCATACTATTAAAAATGTGCATTCTTAAAATAATTCATTGCATCGAATATTCTCTCTTGTATAGTGCAGTAAAAAGTTACTGTCTCCTCTTCCCCCAAAGAGGAGACAGACTTTCCTCATTTCTACCATGTTTAATTTCATCAGAGATTAGCGCTTTTCATGTTCGGGGAAGTTTATATGTAAAAGAATTAATGGCGTCTCAACAACTGCATTGGTGCCCGAAATTGTCTTCACATACGTAAGAGTGATGATTTACGTATTTCCTGAAATAACCAATCAGTCTCATATATTTTTTCTTGAAATAAATAAAAGAAAGATCTACTTGTCATTATGTAATCCATCCATTTTCATCAATCTGCTTCAGAAATGCAAATAATGTTTTTTTTTTTTTTTTTTTGACACCGAAGCATCATTTGGAAGAAATTTTGAGGTGGAAATCTGTCGCCATTCATAAGCAAGGCAGACGATTATGAGAGGGGCGAAATTACAGTATTTGAAGAATCTTTTGTTCTGCAAAAGCAATACGTTGCTAGAAAGCAGGAAGATAAGGTTGTTGAAAAAACATGCTGCTCAAGATCAGTTTCTGTCCTTAACTGCCGTCGAAATAAGAGTTTGATATCTAAGCAGCTAACTTTAGAGCTTGCATTTGCTGATGGAATTTTTATGTTATCGCAAACTGTATCCAGAAGGCTTAACGAGAAAGGCCTTGACCACTTTCTTTGTGGATTAAAGAAAATGATTTTTTTCATAGCCGTCACGAAAAAGGTTTCGTCTGAAATAGTCCACAAAACATTAGAGCTGGAGTCTGAGCTGATTTCCTTTTCCAGCATAGAGTGAAGGTTTTTTTTTTTTAATGTTTGTTTCTAAATGTATTTACATCGAAAGGGAAGCAGGAATACGAAATATTTTTCTTTAAAGACTATAACCGTTATTCTAGTCAGATGTAATGATATGGAGAGATGCAATAATCAGTGGAATCATTTTTCTGGATGTGTTTCTTCGAGCATCTGCATCAGCTCAAATATATCGAAATGAAGTACCCTATGCAGATCCTTTTAGAGATGCATGAGCATATGATTTTCTTTTTATAGATGATAAGTCGCCTCCACAAATCTAGTTGAGGAATTTTTCGAAACCGAATGTGTTAAGCGAATTAGCCAGACAAATTGAACCTTTGAAAGAGCTGTTCCAAGATGAAGCTGTCCCCAAAATTTTAGTGCCTCGTAGGTCATATTGATATAACATTGAATTGACTCCCTTAAATTCGAACTAATTGTGAGCATAAAATCTCGTTGTGATCTGTATGTAAGAGACGGTTAAATCACGTACCGTGCTAATGTTATGAGTCTGCATTTGTAATGATGACTTAAAAAATTCATGCAGCTATACTGAACAGTTTTAGAGAAATCAGTGGTTTTATGCAAAAGATAATTTTGGATACCAGTATACTTTTTTAGGTACCAGTGTAATGAATGATTATAACAGCCATTTCTAATTATAATCTTAATTCCGTATGCTAATTATAATCTCTAAATATGTTAATATAGTTTTAAGTATACTATCATTGCTACGACCGCCCGGTGGCGAAGTGATTAGCGCATGTGCAGGTGCACCACAGGCCCGTGGTTTGATCACTGGGCTGGGCAAGGTTGATTCAGCCTTTCATCCGTTAAGTGGGTCAATAAAATGAGTACCAAGTTCGCTTGAGGACTAAACACCCGGGGTCCTGCGACAAGCTGATGCACTCCGGGGTCTAAAGGTCAAAAGAGCAGAAAAAGGGCACTGCAGGCTATGGCCCACTAGAACTGTTGCGCCCCTGATTTTAGTATTATTGCTACAGTCTTAGCTTTGTATTTATTATGGTTTTAATTAATATTCAATCGCTAAGAGAGTTCTGGCTGCTGTGGGAGGGGAACGTTTAGCTTGAGCAAAACCAAAATTTGATGTTTATGAAAAGTAGGAACTATCCTTATCGATAACCTCTGTCAACGTTCGAATAGGTTTCGGATTCCGTCCGTGCAGAACTGAGCCAGTTTAAAAGAAGGATGTCTGTTATTTGCTCACTCGCCTGAGCATCGTTGATTCCGGTGGACGCAACAACCAGAAAATATTGCAATTAGCTGGTACGAGATCTGAGCTATGCAGAGCGTACGACAAAATTTCTGAATCCAGTTTTTCAGTGATCTCTAGCCGGTCTTTCAATGGCATGCGATTTCTCATTGTTCTGCAGGAGTCATACAGCATTGTCCCGTGAGAGTATCTCAATGAGTTTGTCAGTGATTTAGTATTAGAACTAATAGTACAATTTGGCATGGTGCTGATGCTTAGCGGGAGGGGGATTGTTAAAGAATTAGTGCTTGTAAATCCCACCAAGCGAATAATATCACTTTAGGCAGCTGGAACTGTGTTTCAGCTGAAGTCTGGGCGGTTTGTTGTCCTACATTCATATTCACCTAAGTTACATTTTGATGTAGAAGTACAGTCCTTCAGCCCTGCTATAATGACTCCGATGTCGATGTGGTAGTAAGGTAACAGAGGAGATGAAACTTCCTCGCTATGTTTAATGGACGGATCATCCCATGACTGAAAGTTGGCGAAGTGTGTTCTGGTGATCAGTCGCAGTTGATGATGGTATGTATCTGAAAGGTGCCTGCAAGCTCGTGCACAGTTATTTGGGGGGGGAGTCTGCTACAAAAATCATTCTTAATGGAGCCTAGTTTCAGCGTCCGATATCACCATAGCAGAAACTCGTGAAAAATTAAGAATCTTGCACTACATTCATTCACATTGCCTTGAATGATGCAGTGTGAAAGCTACAACTCGATTCGGAAATATTGAACCTATATTTTTAACCATCAATTAGGACAGGAAGAAGTAGGACTCCAGATTCTGGTAGGACTCCAGAATTTAACCCCGAGTTTCTGCCGGAAAAAAAATGTGTTTGACCTGAATGCACTTTTATGTTGCTTTATTGCATCACTTTGTACATACCTACAGCAAACATTTCGGGAACATTTCGGCGAAGAGTATAATATTAATTTCTAAAATGATCAAAGCTCCTCAGCAACGTAATATTTTGCTGTTACGTAATTTTGAAGCATCATATGTGAACATTATTTTTTTCAAGCTATTATTATATAAAAAATACCAAAATAAAAATTTTGTTAATGATGAGTATTTATTTTATATTACATTAATTTTCGGTTGTCATTTATCTGCTTACAACATAAGTAATTTTGAAGAAATGGTTATTAGAAACTATGCTTCTACAGCATGACATCGGAAGCATGAGATAAAATGCAGCAAAATTTAATTCAGTGTTCCGCTATGTTACCGTGTTATAAATATGCATTACCTCCTCCTTGGTTTTTTCTTCCTAGGTATGTGTACCAAATCTTGGTTAGAACTAAATACATGTGATAAACTTTCAAGAATTTGAAAAACTGACTAGTTATTAAATGTGTAATAATGAAACAGATAAACTTTCAAGATGTTGAAAAACTGATCAGTTATATAAAATGTTTTTCTTTGTGTTAATGCCAAGCCATGTCTGCAGTATTTAATATTTTTTAATTAAACTTTGCATGGTGTAGTAGTTAGCAGATGCTGACTGCTAGTCTGAAACCGAGAGTGTGGGCTCAACACTCACGTGAGTCTTGTCTATTTATGTGCGTTTCCCTCTTCTCGCGAGTGTGATATCATTCAACTGTCTTTATCGCTCCCTGGGCAACATTATTAATGATGGGATATCGAAGTGACCAATGGGCTGGCCATTCCTGATGAATGATTTCAAGAAAAGTTCTAACTATTGGGGGGGGGAGAATCTGTATTTTATTTTATAATATTTATATATTTTTCTGTATTTTATATACACACACATTAAAATACTTTATCTGTGTAGCATATATTTTATGTGAAAGATGAATATTCCATTCAAGCTTTTATCTTCGTAAAGGCTTTTTTATTTCAAAGTATCTGAAATGCAATGTGGAGATTGATATTGCAGGTATCTTGAACTTAGGAGAGGTATATATCAGAATCATGTTATTAAAGTTAAAATCTTGTGCATGTGGTTATTCATTTTCAGGTTTTCTAAAGTACATTTAAAAATTATATGAGTCTTTTTTTAAAGTTTTTTATTGCCTGTGTGAGTTATATATTCTTCTCTACACTTAGGAATGGCACGACTGCCAATAATTAACAGCTTTGCTCGAACACCACCCATTTTGTGGCAGCTAAGATGGTGTCCTGAATTTTGTGGTAGTCTTAAAACTTCTGTTCCACCTCCTCCAGGTGAATATTTGCAAGACAGAGATGTTTTGAAGCAGTATATTTATAGGATAAATCTTCTTGGTAATTATATTAAATATTTTACTTCATAATACATTTTGTAAATAATTTCGTTGATCGTCAGTGATTTCATGATAATAGTGGCCTAGCTAGGGGGACAAGGGGGGGACATCTGTCCCCGGGCGCAGCATCCAAGGGGCGCCTACATTATACTACGAAATTTTTTAATGAAATGTTTTCCATTCTTGGCACACAGAAAGGGGCGCAAATTCTTCAGTTGACCCCGGGTGCTGGAAACTCTAGCTATGCCCCTGCATGGTAAGAAGAAAATATCTGAAAGATTTTTTTAAGCCTTCCGACTCCCTTAAAAAAAGTGCAGGGAAAAAATGATTTATTTTAAAGTTATGTTATATGCCTGTGTGTGCTTTGTAAAGAAAACTGGCCCGTATTTGTGTTACTTGAAAAAAAGACGAAAACTTCTTGTAGCCAGTCCATTTGGCGGTCAGAAATAGAAATTATATGTGAAAGTGTATGAATAAAGGTCACAATATATTTCTGAATGATCAATATTTTCCAATCGGCAGGGTTACTATCAAATCTTTGTACTATCATTAATGAGGGTAATTTAATAAATTTTTCTATTTTTAATAAACTAATAGATTGTTGTATTCTTTGTTTGTTTCATTTACATTTATTAATAGCTTTTTCAATTCATATGTCCACTTAATCAGTTTTTCATAATACAAACACACGTAATAACTTTAGGTGGTCACACATAATAACTTCAGTTTCGATTTCTTTAACATCCATAATTTGACTTTTTTCGGAATCTATTTCTTTTAAATGTTTGAATTTCAAATTCTCTTCCAGCTCTTCTTTTCCTGTTTTATTTTCTAAACTTTTACCTTTGATTTTAGAAATTAATCTTGTTCTAAGAGATCTAAGAGTAGTTCGTTTAGCCTTTGTTATTTCCATGTTGAGATCAATGTCTAACAGTTCATTTAAATTAACTTGATACCTTCATTTAACTAAATTTCTCTTCCAATTTTAAGTGTATTAAAAAGAGGAGTTAGAAGTAATTCTCAATATAAGATTCATTTGTTAGTTGATTCATTATTCAATATTTCATACCTTGTCGCAGATTGCGATTTAGTTTTACTAATTTATTCCAAACTGTAGCACATCTATATTATAAACATAGGGGAACGACTTCACTGAATTTTGCATGCCACTGTGTAGGAAACATTACTGAAGACAATACGCCACATTCCGAAACGGAAACTCAAACTGTTTACAAAACCTTGAGTAGCATAAATCCATTTTTCCGGTGCAGATCACCAACAGACATATATGTCATATTTGAGATCAGACAAAACTGCAAAGTTACGAAAATAAGTAACTTAATTCAAAGGGGCCTGGAAGGCATCGGTAGTATTTCTTCTATGTCTTCAACAGCTGTTCGTTTTCTTGGGCACCTAGGTATGGCCCTATCCCAGTATATTATGATAAGAGCATTTCCAGGCACTATCATAGCATTTTGAAGAGATAAGCTATAACAGATGAAGCAAAAATAGACAAATGGTAGAAAAGAGAAGTCAGTGACTGTGTTAACATTTCAGAGTAGGAAATTAGGTGGTGCACAGTAGTAACTAGTGTCGGAAGAGATAAAAAATTAAAGTCCAAAAATCAGTTCGAAGATGAGAGTCGGCAGGTCTGAGTGCTGTGCAGGCCTTATCTATGGAGTCTTGTAGTTGAATGCTAATGAGCATATAAGGCGCTGCATAGCAAGAGGTGCATAGCAAAAAAATCTGATTGGATGAAAGGCAGTAGCTGGAAGAAAACTCATCGGAGCCTAATTTAAGGCCTACTGATCCTACAGAGATCCTAGAATTCATCGAAAGACTAATGCCAAAAGAGGCCCCTGACATAGATTCTATTTCAAATCACATGGTTAAAAACTTCTCCTAATGTTTATTGTTTGGATTACTATCCTTATTAATTTTATGCATAGGAGAAGCTACTTTTCTGACTGCTGCAGTTTTCCAGCAGTTATTCCCATTCCAAAACCGGGATAAAATTTAAATTCATCCATCAGTTACAGGCCTATAAGACTCACTCTAAAAAATTTATTCACTCTAAAAAATTTATGAGTATGTCTTACTTAAATGCCTGAATGAATTCTGTCATGATCAAAATTTGATTATCTCAGAACAATTTGGCTTCCTACTTAAAAACTCCACAGTACACCAGTTAGTCCATGTAGTTGAATTCATTCACGAAGGCTTTTGCAAGTGAGAGAAAATTGGAATTGTCTTTCGACTTGCCATAATGGACTTATCTACACAAGTTCATGAGACTTGGTTTTTTGGCTCATTAAAATTATTAGCTCGTACTTGTCCGAACGATATTTCTGCGTGCAAGTTAACTATGAATTCTCCTCTGCCCGCCCAGTCTATCCTGGCGTGTCCCAGGGCAGTCTACTTGGGCCTCTAATGTTCAGTATCTACATAAATGATATTCCTAAAGCACCAAGTATCGATCTAGCTTTATACGAACAATAAAGCCATCATCTCTCAACATTCCAACACCACCACGGTAATCTCTACATTACAGATTTACCTTTCAGCTCTTGAACTCTGGCTCGGACTGTATATAACCAAAATTAATGGCGCAAAATGTGCTTTTGTTCATCTGAAGAAATATACCACGTTTAGACTCTCTTTTATTTTTCGGTGAATCAAATCCCTGCCGTCAGAAGAGACGTCATTTGGAATTTCTCGGAAGTGCCGTAACGTATTGGAATGACGTCATGCAGGATATTTTTATTTTTATGACAACGACAATATTTTTAAAGCTTTTCTTATTTTTGTGGCATGAAGTCTTGAACCATGTGTTTGGAATGACATGAACTTTATTTTACTATATTTAATTATTAATACGTAATTAATTTTAATTATTTAGAACGTCATTATTTTTAATTCTTAAATCTTTTCAGTTACAAACAAACCATTATTTTAACTAATTTTATTATTTAACTTAATATAACATTTTAATGAATAATTTTTATGCAATTGCACAATTTAAAAAAAGTGTGATTCGAACCTGCCGCCTCTGGCACGGGAGACCTGAGCGTTACCGAAATGCCACGCTTTGTCTCTTGAATCCTGTAATCTAACCTTGGCCCCCCTCTTTGTCTATTTGACCTTGTGCAGATGAAACCATCATGATACGACTAGCCTGAATAATTGCGCATGTACGAAGCCTGCCTTGGCATGAAAATCGTTTCACGTTTTTGTGTTTCCGCAAAGGCGAACGAATATAAACTTAACTACTAATTCGCTCCTCACTAACATTATCCTTCGTATTTCATTCAATCAGGATGTTTGTTTCTTGAAATGTACATTAATTTATTTGATACGATCTCTTTTTTGATTTTATGAGTATATTTTTTATTGTTTTCTTTTTTCTTCTCATTTTTACTAAATATTTTTATTTATTTATTTATTTATTAATTTTTTTATTTTTTCTTCCAATGTTTGCTTTTGCAAACAAATTTTACTTTAATTTTCAGGAATTAAAATTTCTACAGTACTATTTTTACAAATGTAATATTTTTTCACAAATTACTTTCTTTTTACTTCATTATTCTTTTTTTTAGCATTGAACATTTTTCTTTTATAAAAGTAATATTTATTTTTTACAAGTTACTTTTTTGTGTATTATTGAAAAAACTGATTTTTTATTTTACTCTTTATTTATTTTTAAAAAGTAATATTTATTGTCATAAGTTTAATTTTGTTTCCACTTCTCTGCTTTCACAAGCGCAATTTTTTGTTTTTATTTTTTTCTTTGCAAATGCAAATTTCTGTATTTCACTTCAGAAAAAATTCTTTTTCTTTTCTTTTTACTTTTTTCACAAATGTAAATATTTTATACTTTAAAAAATTTTTCTTATTGTATTTTTACTTCACACTTTTTTTCCCTAACTTTAAATATTTATATATGTTACATTTCCATTTATCCAAACGTAAACATACGTATATTTCTCCATCTACGAAATTTAAGTTGAAATTTACATGCATATTATTTCACTCTGCAGACTTTCATGGATAATATTTTCTGTGCCTTGAAATCGACTTAATACATACAATCTTCGTTCTATATATTTATTTAGAATAAATAAGCAAAATATTACATTCCTTACTTTTTATACTACTAACACCTAATTAGAGATACTCAGAACTGTATTTTCTAATGTATTGTACTAATTACTAATGGCCGTACGAACAGTATGAATCACTATACAAAACATTACAAATTCTCTTTTATACATCTTAAGCATTTACCAAACTATGTCATATTTAACTTCTACCCTGCTTTTAAAACATATTCATGTTACATTTCTGATTTCTTTTTCCAAAAGTGAATACACATTTACATAAGCTTCTTTATTGTAAGACTGCTGACTTTGAACAAATGTTACAAGGAGTAATAAATTTCCATGGCATAAAGTCCACTCAAAACAATACATGGGCATTTCTAGCTAGTTCAGTTCAAATATGTAACAAAAATACTTCATTTCTTATTATTTTACTTTACAGACATTTACACGAATATATTCAAAACTCTCTTTTTTTATCTAGCAGAAGGATTCATTTATATTATTAATGCATTCTATTAACTCTTTGAAACACTTTACAAAAAAATATCATGGATTTACTTATACACATCCTTCCTTAATTCATGAAACATATGTTAAACCTTGGTTTGTTTTCTTCATGAGAAAAGTCACTCAAATTCTTAGTATGATTCCACCATTTACTGCAGAACTACATAAATACTGCAACATTCGAACTTATCACAGCCTTACAACCAGAGGCATAGGCTAGGGTTTCAGTGCCCGGGGACAATTGAAGATCTTCCGCCCCTTTCTGTGTGCCAAGATTGAAAAATGTTTCATTCTAAAATTTTGTAACATCAGTTTGGGGCCCTTGGATACTGCGCCCGGGGACAGATGCTCCCCTTTGCGCCACCATAGCCACACCACTGCTTACAGCTTTTAG